TAACTAATTAAGGTTAAGGTAAGTACTACTACCTTACCTTAACCGTTAACCTTACTTACGTTACTTATACGACAACGTAAACGTTAAGTTACGTACGTCTCTCTCTCTCTCTCTCTCTCTCTCTCTCTCTCTCTCTCTCTCTCTCATGTTTGTATCTGTGTTTTCCTCCTTCCTTTTGTTTTTTATTAGTTCATAGTTAGACATTCACAATTTTTTGTCCCTGGGGAATGTGTCATACAAAGGTGATTTTTGCTAATTATGTGAATGGTATGATTTTCTAAAGGCGAAGCGACCTTCGTTCTTACCCTTTTGGGGCTTCACAACAATTGAGAAACACATACCTCTTCCTCTCGTTATTGATGTCATCATAGAACAAGGTATGCAATCCAAATTCAAGTACTTTAGTTTACTCGGCATTCAATGAGTACCACATGCCTAATCTTCTTACTCAAATTCTTCAGCTACTCTCTCTCTCTCCCCCCACCCCCCCCCTCCCCCTCAATGCGCATCAATGTGAATGTGCCTCATGTTACAGGTTGCTTGCAGACTTTATACGGAATACACACATTCAGAGTGGAAAGTGTAGCACATGGGAAAGCTGCACATGTGGATGAACTACAGATTCAAGGGGTCTGGGATCCAGGCCTCCTTAGGAAGGTAACCTAGAATCTTATGTGTTTTTATAAATAGGGTAGCATCGGTTGCATATCAATTTTTAGCCCAAGTTTAGCAACTTCCTTCCATTAATTTTTAGCTTTTTGCACCTTAGGCTGACAAAAATCTATTGAGAATTGCATATATTTACACTTCTTATTAAATGTGCATTGTAAAACTCTGATACTAAAATTGTACCTATCTTATTTTTTCATAATTAGTAATAGTAAATTTTCATAAAAACATGGTCAACTTCTAGTGCCCTAAATAGACTAGAGCTAACCATAAAATTAAAAATTTTACACTTATTTTGCATCTAATTTTGTGAATACCATTGGAACATAGAAGAGATAAATATATAGTTTAAATTTGCTTGAACTTGAAAAAGAAGAAGAAGTATTGCATTTTTGGGAAGGCTATAACCATTCCCTGAGATAAAATTTCATGTCTGTCCGTTTTTTTGCCCACACGAGCTTGCATGCACACTCATGTGAGTAACAGGTATATCCGTTAGAAATGCTTACTACATTATGATTGTGTAGTTGCAATGTAGTATTATTGTTGAAAATATCACCATTCTATCTTGTTGCATAATTTGCAAACTGATCCATTTTCTCCTAGCTTGTTATGATAGATGAAAATATCACTGTGATTCTAAGAACCATTCCACAGCAGATCTTACAAGGACTCAGATTCTGTCAATTATGCATTATCTAAAGATATAGGAGGTGCTGGTACTAAGAAAAAGTGGTCTAGTGGTTAGTTTTTTATGGTTATTATGCACATTAGTGCCCAGAATCTGATTAAACACACACAGAGAGAGAGAGAGAGAGAGAGGAGTTAGTTTGGACTTTGTTTCAGGTTTAAGAAATTTAGTTTTATTTCCTATGATATGCAGAAATTATGTATTTTCAAAATCAGATAAAGTGGTTCACTCCTTGAGAAAAGAGTGACAAATTCCATGATTGTTCTTTGTTACATTTGTGCAGGTGATTGTTACTGAAGCTGCTAATTGTATGCAAGAAATTGGGGCGAGCAAGAAGCCTATGATGAGTACCAGCGATGGAGAACCTCTATTAACTCCCACTGGATCAATCATTGAAACCCAAGCAATTGGCAAACCACAACCACCTAATTGGAAGGTAAATCAAAATAATAACTTTTCTGCAATTGCACCAATGGCCGGTTCACTGTTTTAATGCCATACTGCTTATTGATAACTTTCTGGACATTTTTCCATCTCTCACCTTATAGATTGAATAGCTTGCAAGATATTCTGAGCTAGTTTCTGGCACTTAATAGCCATAAGACTTCACACTTACTGAAGCATCCCCATGGTTGCCTTTAGCTTTAAGGCATTCATTCTAGCCAATTTTTTTCAAGTTTATCCTAAATGATAGAAATGTCACGGTTGTGTTTATATATTATTTAATCGACTTTTATCAACTAAAAAAAGGAAAGAACAGCTTTCCATGTTTCAATTGTTTAAAAAGAAGCTACCAACCTCATTTGTGTAGGCCACACCATCTCCAAGGCGTGGTTTTCGCGAAGGATTTGTTCATACTGATGTGCTGCTACATAAGCTTGAAGAAGTTGAACAGTCGGTGAAGGTATGCAATGTGATTTTTATCTAATTTTTATTTTTTCTGTTTTGATGTTTCTGGCCACCTGATTGCAGTTCGAACCAATTCTATTAGAACCGGCCCAGATCACTAAATTGATCAGGGGTCCAATCCAGTCAAAGCTGGACTAAACGCTAGCAAGAGCAATAGCAAGCGCTAGCTTGAGGTAGTAGTGGCCAAGACTTAGCCAGTCTCGCACTAGACCGTACGGAGTCACTTACCAGCACTAGTTCGTACCTTAGCTAGCTAGCAAGGCACCGTTGATCAAACCGATTGAACTAGATTTTAAGAAAACAAAAAAATAGGAAGAAGAGCTTAACATTTGAAATCATCATCATCATCATCATCATCATCATCATCAGGATTCATGAAAAAATATTGCAAAAGTTTTATGTTGGAACCCTCCTCTGTCTGGGATTGGAACCGACATTGACCGACATGGGACCGGCCATGGTAAAGTTATCGTAACTTATGAAATATATTACAAAAACGAAAGAAAAATGGAAACGAGGCTCTAGACAAGGTGATCAGGGCATGCAGACCTACGACATGACATCAATTATTCCAATCCTACCTACCCAAGTTAATACAAAAATAATAATAAAAATAAGAGCAATGAGTTCATGCAACCGTTGTATAGTAATATGATGCAACAACCTTAAAAAACCATCTTATGGTCAGTTGTTTGATCCAAATTTTGAAATATACACTCTTTTCATTCTAATGAACAGTTACAAAAAAAAAATTGAAAATAAATCTAGAAAGTATTTTTTTAGCCCAATTAACATAGGCCGTTCATTTTGGTGAGATGTTTAGATCTAGGCTTTAGAATGATTTTTTCATTTCCAATTTTTTTGGATGGCTTTATTATCATTAGGTGTACAAAGTTAAAAAATTAAAAAATGATTTTTAGTTTATAAAGGCTAAGATCTTGAAATTCATAAAATGAATGCTCTATATTCGTTTTTGGAGGGGACTCATTTTGACCATAGGGGTTCAAATTGAACTTTTGGTTTTTTTGGTGGATTGATTATTGAGATGAAGAGTGTGTACAAAATTTGAGATCATACAAATGCCACAAACATGGTTTTCTAGAAGTAGCGTTGCATTATACTATGATACAACCGTTATATTGGATCATTATTTTAAAAATAATGGTGCTCCCGCTTGTTTTGTTGGTCCAATTGGTCAAAATTGACGAGTTTGATCTATCCAACCTTGTACCAAAATCGGTTTTTTCTTCGACCTACGAAGGCTCGGTGCGGTCTAATCAGTTGGTGCCATCCACTCTTAATGATACTGATTTGGACTTTGAATTTTTTTTGTAGAGAGAGAGAGAGAGGGAGGTTCATTTGGTGATTCAATATGAGAGAGTTCTCTACAGCTGTGATCACACAGGTTTTTGACAATAAAATCAGGTGACAAGTAGGATGGTGACCGATTGAATGAACCTTACCTATTATAGCACGTGACTGTCTCAAATTGTGCTGAAAACTGAGTAGAGAGAGAGAGAGAGTGCGATATTGATGATTTAATCTCTGAGAGCCTTCCTAGAAGAGTGACGAACATATCCGATCTGCTACCTATTACAGCATGTTGGTCAAACAGAAGAAAAATGTGGCTGAAAACTGTGTTAAAACTGGATGTGCTCATTTCTCTCATAGTAAATGCTCTCTGCTGATCTTTATATATTGAATTTACGACTTGGAGCTTGCTAATGCAATCCACAAATATGTTATTAGTTCTTTGCTTAATTTATCGGTTCCTTTTCACACATATGTTATTCGTTCTTTGCTTAATTTATTGGTTCCTTTTGTTTCTCAACAGAAAATTGAATCGATCGTGGAGAGATCGCAATCAAAGAAACCACAGGATGGCAGTTGATTCTATCTATGCATGACACGAAAAGGACTATAGTCGCTGTATTTTTTTTATATTGATTTTTTTCTTTTTTTTTGTGAAATTGAATGTCTTGTATATGAAATATTGTTTTCGTGCAGTGGCAATATGTTTCTGTGGATTAGATCTCTTCTAAATGAAAAGTCAGAAGTGATGATGGATGAGATAGAAAGAGAGCATTTCAGTCCTAAATGGGAAATGAGAGAGCATGTCAGTCCTAAATGCAAAATTGAGAAGGCATGTCCTTTACCAAATTTTATGTTTTGAGAGAGAGATATTGCATTTTCCTTGAGATAAAAAAGAAAATTATGCACTCCTCGCTTTTTTTTTTCTATTACGCTTGTGGTACTCATTTGATTTTACTTTGACATAAAACATTGCAAACAGTTGGTCTTCATTATTGCTTTTATTATTGCATTGCCGTACTATGTTCAATTCACAAACTTATATTTATGAATGTAATTTCTTAATGTTGGCCTTTATGGCCTTCTTTTTCTTTTTTTTACAATGTTTTCAAGTGAGAAAATTAATCTTATTATGGGTAAACGCATGTTTGTGGAAGTGCTTGAATTGGGATGGGATATCAATGCGACTGGATTCCATCCATTTTGATTTTAAATTTTGTTTTAATGTTTCATGGACCTATTTTTTCAAATAATTTAGGAATTAGTTTTTTTTTTTTGAATGTATCAGTAGGGTGGTGTTTTTTTTAAGGTATTAGTAGGGTGTTGTCAAATGTGATGACTGACTATGGTATGGGAATAGCTACCACTACGACCCAGCCCCATTCCCAATGTAGAGAGAGAGAGATGCAAAACATGCAACAGTACCCCCATAACAACAGCCAAACAAGAAGAGAATTTCCAAGAAATCCGATAACAAACTGGCAAAAAGTAACCATGCATGATGCATCAACTATTCCAAGTTACACGTTTGCTCTGTGACTACATACAACGCATCAAGGTTCTCGGTAGCAAAATTTAGAAGACATGACAAACAAAGATTATCAAGATTCTAGAGTAAGAAACTCAAAAGTTTCCTAGAAACTACTAACAAACTCGAAGCGAAGATGATCAAAATTCTAGAGTGAGAAACTCAAAAGTTCCAGAGAAACCAATAACAAACTCGATGCGAGTAGCTTTCATGCATCAACTATTCCAAGTTATATGTTTGGTATATGACTTGCATTCAACTCATCAAGGTTCTCAGTAGCAGAACTAAGCATTCATGACAAATGAAGATAATCAAGATTCTGGAATAAGAAACTCAAAAAGATTCTGGAAAAAGAAACCCACTCAAAGCCAACAATATATATTCACCGACTATTTCAAGTCAAGTTTGCTCTATGATTTCTTTCAATGCATCAAGCCAGTATTTTATAACATAAACTAAAGCCTCTTTATACCATAACAAGAGTTTATTGACTACATGAACAAAGATAACTTTTCTTCAAAGTCTATGATTGAGTAAAATACATAACTCGAAAAAACCGTTCCCTTCATGAAAATTCTAGAGTGAGACACTTGAATAACTTATTCACCAAACCATCTCTGGTTACACAGTTCTGACACTGTTCAACCACAAGAAGTGCGTATATCGTAAAATCCAGTGAGGTCTACATCCACTACTGAAGATTTCATATTCTATAGCAAGTTTCTTTGAACTAAACAAACATAACATTACATAAATAAAATGAGAAACCCACTATAATTATGACACAGGAAAACAATGCAAAGAGCTCACTCTTTAGCCCCTTCCTTCACTTCCTCGGAGTGAGAATTCTCGACTGGCGCTTCTTTTGGAGCATCTTCTACAACTTTTTCAGTGTTGTCAGTTGTTTCGGGGGCTTCACCGGTAGACCCATCAGTCACGGGTACTGTTTCCTTCTTAATCTGCCCCACTTTGACATATTTGCTCATGAATTTATACTCCCAATCTTGGAGAGCATCGAGCTCGAAAGGCCCTAGGCCTTCGATGTCACCTGTCAAATCCTCCTTCTCAAAAGACATCTTGGCAAGGGCTCTACTTGCATCTTTGCCAGCAAAGAGTGCATATGGTCCCCCAGGCCCATAAAACATTCTGTCCAAATATATAAAGCAAAAGAATAAACCAAGCTTCAGACATTAAGAATTTTGTTTTTGTAAGAGTCAACAATTTCCTTTTCACAAGTGGTGACCTTTTTATTTGATAAGGAGGATTTTGTTGACAGCAACTTATCTCATAACATAATGATAGCGGCGACATATTACTAACAGCATGAAAATAACATAAGATCTAGAAAAACAATCAGCAGGTGCCTATAACAATATAAAAACCTCAAACCGCAACAAAAAATGAGAGAATATTAATTATTGGAATTAGAAATTAAAACTGTAATTAGAAACTTAAAGTTTTGTATCAATAATCCAACTTCATGAAATTAGCCCCAAGAATCACCAAAAGAAGTTAGCCTAAAGGAACCCCGATGCACATGCCAAACCACTTGGAAAAACCTAAAAATAAACTACTTTTTCATTTTTCAAACCCCAACCCTCTACACAACAAGAACAAAAGCAGCACCAGCAGCAGCACTAACAATATTTGCTATCAATTTTAATACCACTGTACAATTTGGCAATGGAAAGCACAACTCAAAACATGGAATGAAAGATATGTCACCCTCTACCATCATATTAGCACAATTAGTAAGAAACTCTGTCCATGGTTCAGAATAGAAACTAAGAGACAGATAGACAACTCTTGGAGTAGAAAAAACCATTACGAACTGTCATATTAGCAGAATCAATGACAAACACTGTCCATAGCCAAGAATGGAAAATAACATACAGAAAGACAAACATTTTAATGTCATCGTAACAAATCTAATACATCTTCTTTTGAAATTTTTACAATGACATTAAGAATAAAGATAAACATCAACAGTGAGGTCAATAAATACTTATAGCTATGATAATATTTCATTAGCAAAAGCTATTTATATGGAAAAGGAAAACAGAAATAAAAAATAATACACAATCAACCAGTTAACTAAATCGCTTTCTCATAACTAAAGCAGCTTGGGCACATAAGATCTTAGCCAGAGTTCGAGACTGAAGAAAGTCTTAGGAAATGTGGTATGAACATCAATATCAAGATCAATAATTACTTGTGCTATTTCATTGACAAAAGCTATATATTTGGAAAAGAAAACAGCAATAGAGTGATGCATCAACCAGTTAACTAACATCACATTATGATTATTAGAATCAGATTGGCCACTTAACATCTTGGCCAAAGTCCTCTCCATGAGACTGAAGAAGGTCCTAGGAAATGTTGTATTGATGTGCAATGGTTGCACAAAGAAGCAGGACTTGTACAGGAAGAAGCATGGGTGGAGAAAATAATTGAAGGAACTAGGAATTCCTAAATAACCTCATTGAAATTATGGATTTCACAAATAGGTGGGGTATTTGTACCAATGGATGTTTTCCTTGGCCTATTTATCAGTCTCAGTTTACAGGAGTTTGATATGATTTTTTGCTGGCCTATTTATCAATCTCGGTCTACAGGAGTCTGATATGATTTTTCATCATATTTCTATCGATCCTCATCACCAAAGAGCTTTCCCACAACATCATTAAGGAGACTCATGTGTTATTAAGATCTTTACAAACAAAAAAAAGAACTGTCGTGGTTCATGTTTGACATTGAGGGTTTTAAAATTGAGGGTTACCATTTTCCTTAAAAATAAAAAATAAATAAATAGGGGACCTATGGTTATCCATCTCAGAATGTTAACAACACACTCATCGCCACTTGGATCTCTACCTTTGTGCCAAAAATCTTAAGAAAGCTTGTGGTATCCAGTTTAGAATGCAATGAAGGTAGACCGATTAGCAGAAGAACCTATACATGTCATTGTGAGGATGGATTATGCTTATTGAACCCACTCAGACAAATGACTTGTAACACCTGTGGTCCTTATATTAGATGTTACAAGACATTTGTGGAAGTGGGTTCAATAAACATGATCCATCCACACAATGACATATACCACAAGGACATACCTTCAAGGAAAAACAAAAATTTGATACAAGGATATGAACTTAATGGTAGGTCATGTCCCTGTATCAGATGTTGAGACATGTGGCTAAGAAGTTGGAGAGAACCTTTCCCCCTTTTCTTGTATTGGACAGAATTTAGTGAGCGTTGCTTTGGAAAGGTGGCAGCAAGGCTTTCAAATTTCATTGTATGCAACAATAAGAAGTATTATTAGGAGAGAAAATGGAGAGAACTTTTCCTCCTTTTCTTATAACAAAGTGAAGAGAATTTAGTGAGAGTGACTACGCAAAAGTGGTAGCAAGGGTTTCAAATTCATTGTGTGCAACAATAACAAACATATAGAGGAAAAAGATAAGGTAGAGGGGAGTTAGAAGATTCAAATAAGCAGTAAGGTGGGTGATGATAGTAGAATTAAATTTTGAGATAACCTTTCACAGGGGAAGAAGCCACTTCTCCTTTCTGCTACACTTGAGTTTGCCTGGTGGGCATGTGCTATTCCACAGTGTCAAAGACTAAAAACCTTTTGCGTATAGGACTAATGGTATCATCCTACTTTCCTTTTTCCCTATGTTACATGGATTCTTCGACAAGCGTCCTGTACCCATCTTCGATACTTACGAACACGTGTAAGGGTATGGATTCTTCAAGTTCAATAATACTGGAAAGAACTTGTTGCTTTTACTATTAATCACATAAATAGAATTAGAATTTATTTAATTCTAACCATGCATTCATTAACAAGCACTAAACTCTTTCTTTTTTCTGTGAATTAAGAAAAGATCTTGCTATTTCTTCTTCATACTTTGCATTCAATGTCAAATATATATATACATATGACATTGAATCCTACGTTACTTATTAGGGCTCGAAGAATCGGACACCCTATGTCCGTGTCCTACACTGACACTTATCCATATCCATGCAACATAGCTTTTTTCTGCCTATGTTCTATTATTTTTCAGAAAAGTTACTAGAGGGAAATTCACTGAATATCATTAGGTGGGTGCAATGTGATGACCCAATACCTAGAGTATTATAGTTAATTTGGAAAATCTATAACAATGAAGGCATTGTGTTTTTTATTGTTATTATGTCTATCACCCATATCTTAAGGAAGTTAACTTAATTTGGAAAATCTATAACATTGTAGGCGTAATTAAACATCTGATGAACTTTTAGGCAGTGTTCCAGGATTCGAGCAAGTAACTCAGATTCGTCCTATGGGCGAGGCTGAACCCACCCTCATAAAAGTCGGAAACAATATAAATGAAAAAAAAAAAACAGTAGAAAACTTGGGAAACACCATTATATTTGTTAGAAATGAAATTTTAGATGATTTTGGTAGTTTTTATGATGATTTGAGAACTTATATATGTTTTCCCTTTTATTTACTTTTATGGAAATATTTAATACCTAAATAAATAATTTCAATAACCAATGGGTTTATGGAAATTTTTCATCTTCTTAGTCTTCTAATTCTCTCTATTACCTCTTTTATTTTTTATTTTCTTAACTATTTTATTTTATTTACGATTTCTTTTGACCTCTTTTTGGTTGTAAATGACTCGGCCAAGTGCGAGTCACTCACCTTGGCCACGACAAGTTTCCGAACCCAGCTTTTAGGAAATCCCTGCATCGCCTAAATAATGCCACAGTCCATAATTATTCTTTCATATTATGTTAGATGTGAAAGAAGAAATAACAAAAAGAAAATGGTTTTGTGATAGAATAAAAGTAAAATAAAAATGCGGCTTATTTCATGAAAAGTTGCTCTTTGATACTCATTGACTGGGGAGGATATGATGTAATAAAATAGCTTTGTGATACCCATTATATGATGATAGAATGATGGTGATAATAGTGTTAGGGACCAGTGATCCAAAACTTGCCCATCCAAAATCCAAATCAGGAACCCCACCCCACGTCAGATCACATTGGGAGGGTGAAGTTTTCCAATTTCCGATTTCCTTGTACAAATTCCCAGTCCGACTTAGGAATCATCCGAGCCGCACCAGGGGGCCTCAGCCTAAGACCCCTGATACTTTGGAGTTCGAGTCTGACTTTTTAAGCAACACCATTAGGGATACAACTACCACCACCACAATAATACTACTTCAAAAATACCACTTAAAGGCATTAGTCCTCCAACCACAATATATGAACCAGTAAAACTGGATAAAATAAAATAAAAAGTAAAGGAATTTTTCTGAGTGATAAAAAGAAAAAAAAAAACAGTATTTGACAATTTATGGTCGAATCTAATTAGAGAATAATCACAAACCCCTAAATCACAGCAAAATCCAAGAATCATACGAACCGCAAATACAATAACTAAAGTTAAGAAACATTAAACTGACAAGAACAGATACTACGATTGCTCTTAGCTAAAAGGCCAAGAAAGGTATGATAAAACTAAGAAATATTGCAATAATTTATTTTGACACAATAGAAAATATAGCTTAAATATGAAATCTAGAAATCCGTGGGAAAAAGAATAAAAGATTTTCACACAAATCAAAATAAATTATGTGGAGAACCCAAATATCAAACACACGAATTAATGGAAAAAAATCCACATAAATTAAAGGCATAAGTTAGCAGGGAATCCAACTACGAAACTCAGAAATTCATGGCAAAATAACCAAGAATTTTCACAAAAAAATCACGGAGAAAAATATTAAGAGAGCCTGGATTCAGAGAGAGAATATTCATAATAGAAAACAGGATTCAGAGAGAGAGAAAGCGATTCACAGAGAGACCTAGATGTGTGTGAGAGAACGCTTATAGAGAAACACCCGGATTGAGAGAGAAAGTATCCATAGAGAGACGGATTGAGAGAGAGAGAGTATCCATAGAGAAATAGAGAGAGACCTGGATTGAGAGATATCATAGATCTGTCCTTTGATGGCCATTAATAGGGGTTTCTTAGGATCTGATCCATCGTAAGCGCTGAGCTCTTCCTCGGTGATCTCGCCGAGCTGAACAGGAGGAGGCAATGGCTCCACCTCTTCCAAAGCCTCTCTCGGAGAGGCTCGAACGCTTGGGGTCGAAAAAAAACCGGAGACCAAATGGTAAAGGGTCAAAGCTATGGCCACGACAGTGAAGAAAGTTGCAGGCGACAGACCTGTGTACGCAGTAATGGCCTCTTTAAAGGTCTCCCAGAGTTGCAGAGGAGCCATTTTAGAGAGAGAAAGGAGCTACTTTTGAGAGTATCGAAACGATTTTACTGTCTTAGAGAGAGAAAATTGGGAGGAGAAATATCGCCTTGACTAGACGAGAAAGAGGAGCTGCTTTTGAGGGGCATCGAAAGTTCGAAATGATTTTAATATTGTAGAGAGAGAAAATTGAGAAAAGAATCGACATTTTAGAGAGAGAAAATTGGGAGAGGATGGCAAGAAAAAGGGTAGAAAGAGAGTGCAAAAAGAGGCTAGAAAACAGATCAACTCCTTACGGTGTCGGGAAGGAATTAGAGCTAAATTTAGAGAGAGAAAGAGACTTTGTGGTTTAATTTTAGAGAGAGAAATGGAGGAGAGAGAAGATGCCAAGTACCTAAGGGCCTGTTTGGCTTACTGAAAATAGGACCCTTGGAGTCTCATTTCCATAGAAACAACCCGAGCTGCTGTTTGGTTACTTATAAATATGGAATTGATAGTTCCGCCGGAAGTCTTGTATCTTCATTTTAAGCTACGTTTGAGGAAATGCCAATTCCACTTATTTGGGTGGAATTGACATTTCTTGAAATTTAAAGTTAAACACAGAGGCCCTAATGCCTATTAATATTAGGATGAGGTTTCTATTAGGTTGAGGCTTTACGAAAACAAAATAAAGCCTTATCTCAAATCCTTGTCTGAAAAATACATTTGGTCACGGAAATCTCTACGATGGCTCTAAAATTAATTTCTAACACCAATAATAAAATTTGAAACTCAAAAAATGATAAAGATCTTATGGATATATGAATACTTATTTTTAGGGCGCAATAAATGGTCTAAATAATTTGTTACAATAATCATATTTTTAAAGCTTGAAATCTTTATTTTTTATTACAACCATAATGGTCAAGCCAAGATCATCGATATAAAGAAAAATAGTTTGATAGAGCTGCAACTTTATCAAAGTAAGTAAAACCTCACTTTATAACTCATAAAAAATTGTAATTCAAGCATTAGAAAACTTTTACATCAATCATCTTGAGTTGAGCATTATGGTTGTGAAAAAAAAAAAAATTGATTTCATACAATTAGGGTGCAGTTTGTATAGGACCGAGGCTCTAAACAATCAAAATAAAACGCACCTTTAAATAATGTAAAAAAATGTGGTTTCAAATACTAGAAATATTTGTGATTGTCTTAAAGTATATTTTCATCTGTAATTATAAAATTTAAAGCTTAAAAATAGTGTATAGTATTATATAATTATTATAATTAACAAACCCTAATAAATTGGGATATGATTTAGATAATGATGACAATAATTATTATAAATATGATATTATACTATTAAATTATAATATTATTATAATATAATAATATTGTTATAATATTATTATAATATAATAGTAATATCATATTAATCCCAATAAAGTAATATTTTATATTATAAAAATTCTAATAATATTATTATATTTATTATAATAATAACACAATGATAATATAATATTATTATTATATTATACTCATTATCATAATAATATTATAACATCATATTAATATTAATAAAATAATATTATAATATTATTTAATTATTATAGTTATGATGTTAATGTTTGAATGCACGTCTCGTAAAATAAAGTGGGATGTCGTGATTATTGTACTTAAAAAAATAACAATACAATGAAATTTTTTGAATATCTTAAAAATATATCTTTCAGGCAATCCAAATAATAAAGATCACGCCTTGCGAGTCATTGTCAAATGCTATCCAACAGTATATATCTATTTTTCAGGAAATACCAATCCCAAGAGATAGACATTTCCGTTGTCCCATTTACAGGGAACCAAACGGGGAGAGGAAGGACTTAAATTTAGCTACATCGTCTATGGAAACGCATTTCCAATCCGAACGGTGAATTAATGAGAGAGGAACAACTTTGGACTGTTTTTAGAAAGAGAAGATAGGGATAGAAGACCAATTTTGGACTACTGGAGGAGAGAAAAAAAATTTATAAGGAGAGAAACGGACAAGATTCTCTCTCTTGCGGAGGGATTACAATGACTAAAATATCTTTTATTTTGAAAAATTATCACAAATATATTTTTAAAAAAACACCTCTACTTTTCATAAACCTCATCCGTACTTATTTTCTTCCATTGTCATTTTTTTAAAACGGCAAAAACTAAAACGCTATACGGCATTTTAAATACCGTAAAACCTAAACCTAACCATGTTATACCGAATTCAAAATCCCGTAAACTATTTTCTACTGTTTATATTTATCTCTTTTATATCTTTAATTTTTTTTATGTTTCTCTTCTTTCTCTTTTTAATTTTTTTTAATATTTATCTCTTTTATATGATTTTAATTATTTTTAATATTTATCTTTTTTTTCTCTCTCTAATTCTTTTGCCTTTGCCGATCTATTCCTTCATTCGAAACTAATTAAATACATGAGCATGTATACCATGCTCCCATGGGAACATATAATGTGCATCTACTCCTTTATTGGAAACACCCACTTGGGCGATTTTTTTGTTTTGCAGTTTGAAATTTTAGGAACCACATAAAAATTAATAGATTATTTTTAAAAGCAAAAAAAATTAATTTTGAGTTTTCTAACACGAAGATTTTGTCTTTAAAAAGATTGGACTGTTTTCAATCTTGAGAGATTATTATATAGATAGTTCATGAAGGTACTCTATGGGTTGTAGAGGGTACACCGCCAAAAAGGTCCTAAAAGCAGTTCTAAATTGGACTTTACCCCGAGGAAGTATATGGTCAGTATAATCCCCAAAGGGGTCCTAAAAGCACTTCTGAATTGGGCTTTACCTGAGGAAGTATATGGCCAGTATAATCCCCAAAAAGGGTCCTAAAAGCACTTCTGAATTGGGCTTTACCCGAGGAAGCGTATGGCCAGTATAGTCCTACAGGAGTATAAAATCTTACCGCAATATTATAAAGGATGGGGTTTCTCTGGATCAGCCAACTCATACGTGCTCTTGCCTCCCCCCGCTAAAATCCATCTTCAAGATGGATTTTGATCCAATTTATTAGGAAATCATGATATAATACAAGGTGATCATGAATACGAGAAAAAATAATATTTAATTGGAAATATGTTTTTTTTTAGGGAGTTTTTTTTGCACCGTCTCATGTTATTTTGGTCTGGTGCACTTTTCATAACAGATGGAAGCTTGCGGATTAGTGAGCTATTGCGTTCACTGACTCACAAAAAAACACTTTTCCTATCATAAATACTCGTGTGTAACGGTTTAAAAAACAGTTTTTCATTTGCAAACAGTTTTCTGTGCAATAGGTTTCCAATCCTGTATTTTTCATGTTTGCTTCACATTGGATAACCAGTTTCTGGAATTACTGTGTAACTAATATCTTATGTTTGATAATCCATAGGTAAACTATTACCTAGATTTTTGGATTAATACCTATTTTTAACTGTTCAATTGCAAATATAATCGATTTGATACCGACATACATCCCATTAAGATGATTTTTTTAAAACATTCAATTTGTATTATGTTTAAAAAAAATAGATGATTTAGATCCTAAGTTTAGTTCACTTTATTAAAAATAATATGTAATTTTAAGAACCACATTAAAAGTCCGTGGTTTTTTTCTTTGTCTTTTTTTAATCTATATGTTGTAAGATTAATGAAAAAATATTTGCAGTACAAATTTTAAGGATACTTTTTCCATTCCAATGTATGCAGACATCTTTAATGCATGATGTCCATATCCAATCTCGAAATACATAACAGAAGTACAAATACAATAAAAAAAGAAAAGAATGTAATATCATCACAACTATTGCATCCTAAACCCTATATCGATATTGCTCCCATATTGCATTAGCAATTTCTTCACAATTATGTAGCAACGTCATCCTTGTCCTCATTAGGAGCTATGGCTGGTCACACCATTTGATCAGCATGTTCCAATACCGCATTTTCAAACCTTGACTCCTCATCAGTGAGGACAACTCTTGTCATCCTGATACAGTTGTGTAATATGCATGTTGCAATGACGATACTGACTTAGAGTTTCAAATGGTTCACATATTGAGGTGGGAGGTCAAGGGTTGTATCCTTAAAGTTTGACCCCAAAAAGCAAACCAACCCACATTTTTTTTTAAACATCAAAGGAAAGGGCTGAAATGTAGCACATCCATGCAAGAAATAGATAATAACCCTTTAGAAGGATTTCATGCGCACTATCTTCTAATAAACATCATGGAAAAGAGAATGACACAGGGAGAAATGTAAAAGATACCCTAGCACACGCACTGGCAAACCCAAAAGCAATCAATAAATAAGATATGTTGCACAACAATCAATCTCAAACTACAACCATAGATCACAATCACCATATATCATAACCAACCTTGTTCATAGAAAGATAACAAGATGCACAAGCTGATTGAGGTGATGGAATCACATTCATACATACATGTTGAAAGTAGTCTTAGTGCCAAAAAAAAAAAAGAAGCACAAGTTGATTGAGGTGATGGAATCACATTATTCTATGTACAGATACACGGTATAATAATCTTTTGGGACTAAAATTTTAGAAAATCTTCGGTTTAACGTTTTAAGGTGTACCAATGTAGGGGAGATCCAAACAGTCCCATGGCAAATGACAAAAAACAATGGGAAAGCAAGGGGAATCGAAAGAGACGGGACTATTTTATACACAGGTGAGATCTTGATAATAAGGTAAAATTTCTCTCAGCTACTGGTAAGAGTGCGAGGTGGAGTCAAGAAGGGACTGTCACATTCGAGATCATCAAATCCCCAAAAAGTGGTCCTCTTGCTCTGGCTCAGTCATAGTCCAATACCTGTAATGAGAGATGATTTAAGTGATCTATTAATTCCTTAGAAGCCATCCAAACTCTCTCTCTCTCTCTCTCTCTCTCTCTCTCTCTCTCTC